CTTCCTACGGTCACCCCACGTGGCCGATGACACAGCCCCTGGTATTTCAGAAGAACCAGTACAAGCTACTACGACTACCTCAACTGGTGGCTCGGGACAACCAACTCAGTCACAGCCCACTCCTCCACCTGTACCGATGACTGACGAGGAGACTATTCAGTCCCTCGTTGAGAGTGGTATGGATCCGTCGTTTTTGGACGCCCTTCCTGAGGAGATGCGGCGTGAAGTCATTGCCGATCATCGCCATGCAAGACAAGTGCAGCAGCAGCTCAGGTCCATTACATTGCCGGAACACATAAATTCCGATTGGTTGGCTGGTTTGCCGCCGCACATACAGGAAGAGGTATGTTGAAAGTAAATCTAGGGCCAACCGAGGTATGCATTTTGGGCCTATATCGGTATACGTGTTCGCTTGGCTAACAGTTATTCAAATACCAACATTCATTTGGCTTTTTGCTAGTTTTTATGACGATTCTGACTCCGCGTTTCCGTCAGCTGATGGAGATATCAAAGAATTCCCTGGTTTTATTGCACAGCTGGACGGTGTTTGAGTTAATTACTTAATTTGTAAAAAAAATCGGTTGTCACTGCATTTCGAAGTTTCGTATTTTGTTTGAACCCGTTTTGGATAAAATTCTACATTTCTTTCGTGAAAGCTCTTTGGTTGAAGTTGTCTTGGAATCGTTTTACTATTCTTTGTCGTTCACTGTCTGAACTCCTTTTAGAATTGTTTAGTTATTTTTTTTTAGATTTATCTATTATGTGATGAACGAAACCTGTGGTTTACGTCATACGACTCCTACGCTATAACCACTGTACGACGAGTACGCGGTTATTACAGCTGACAATTATGATGATGATGTTACGATCTACTCAAAAGGTTATGTCGGTCACTTGTCACCTGCGTCGATATCATCCGTCGTTTCTATGTGCAGATATACTGCGTATTTGGATGCGTAACAACGTGAAGATAGCCTGAATACTTGGCAACTTCGTATTTTTGTGTGTTGGATTATCAGCCTCAGTGAGTTTGTTTATTACTCGGACGGGGACGACTTGATAGATAGTGGGTTTGATGAAGTTACCTATGAAATGAACAAGAAGGGGCTGTCGTTGTTGGTTCACACCACAGTTGGAGCGCACGCTTAACTTTCGTGATGCAGATTATACTCAGCTTAATGCAGCCAGTCTGGGTTTACTGTGCATAACGTTATCGAACTATGGTAACCATCTTTTCATTACGCCTCCAGTATTCCAAGTCTCTCAACAGCGAGCTTTGCGTGCTTGTTATCGATCGAGCGTGTTAGACCGTCTCTGAATGACTAGTAGTAGTCAGTTCGATTCCATTACCGTTTCAATTTCGATATGATGTCTTTTAGAAACAGACCGCAGCACAGTGTATTTTATAATGACTCATCATCTGAGGATGGGCTTTTAGAATTGAACTTTGATTACTATTGACGTCCAGGTTATGGCTTCGTTATTTTTTTTATGGTAGTATAACCCTTTCATCGATTACCTTTAGCACATTTTACTTGGTTGAGCTGTGTACTGTGAAGTCTTTTCGGCTCATATTCATGATCCGCGTGTTGCTTTTGTGGTACAGGAGTAGATGATTTCCCATGTTGCTATCTTCTAGAGACTTGAGTCACTACAATTGAACTAATAGCTACACATCTGAGCTGCATTTGAACGGTTAAGCTCACTAACAATTGGAAGTGTTGATCAACACAGACAAACCGCCTTGGTTTTTCCCCCAGTGTACACCTCATGAATTAGCCCAATACACAGACCATCGGACTACTCCTTCCAACGGTATGGTCAGGTTTGATAGTCAGTGTCAAATGCGAATACTGGGGAAAAATAATAAAGCTAAGCCTGACGTTCGATAATTTTGAATCGCCTTAGCCGAACACAAATCAAATGACATGCTAAGCACTGTTGGCTTTTTCTGATTTCAAGGAGCAGTCCATTTTTGACATTAGTGAGGCCAAAAATGCTTAAACTTCCTTATCCTTTTTCTTGGAAGTTGCCATTTGTTCCAAGATTTCCACGGTAAGGTGGGTGGGATGGCGACAAAGTAGTTCTTTTAGAGGGATAGTTCCTTACCCTTGGTAACAAGCTTCCTTTGTGAAGATCTCCGTTTCACATGTTCAGAGATTGATGTGTACAGATAAATTGCTACAGCTGATGGTTTCTTTTGCAGCACTTAGCTAATATCTCAACACTTTCCTGCTCTTGTGTTTCAGCGTACTAAGTCGTTTCCTTCAAAGATTCTTCAATACTGCGATCGCTGTGTCTAATTTCTTCCACTCTCTTTGTTCTTCTCAACCAATATTCAGGTGTTACTGCAGTTTCGTAACGAACAGCAGCAAAATGCAGCAGCGGCTGCCTCAGGAGCAAACACGACAACAACTTCTGGTCCTGCGGAAGGTGCTGCCTCAACAGTCGGTGAGTCTGGGTCGATTGTACGCGTTCCTGAAAGCAACACGGCGTTTCTCGTATCGCTACCTCCTTCTCTGCGACGTGAAGTGCTGGCCGATATGGAAGAATCGCAGTTAGAGATGCTACCGCCTGATTTGGTTGCCGAAGCTCGTCAGTTGCGGAGGGAGAGTGAGGAACGCTTCGCACGCGCCGTGCAAGGTGGAATGCTGGCACATTCGTTCACTTCCAGACACGACCGTGAGTTCTTTTTCTTCACTGTGATGAATACCAACGTTCTGTGCATACTTAGCTTTATGCATATGGTTTATCGTGACGTCGCTGAATAGTTTTCGGTTTGGTTTATGACTTGATTCAGGTCCACATGGGTAGTAATCGGATCTCTGTAACAAACTCGTAAGTAATGAGATGTTTATTCTATTTCCTTATATCAGCATAGTTTCAATAACCAGATGGATCATTTGCACGTTTTTGCTTTCATTCAGGCCTCATAGGTGGTCCAGGTCGGTGGGATGTTCGCTTCAGCTCCATCAACCACTTTCTGCGTCATTTGAATTCGCTTGCCGGTCCGTTTCCACCAAACGCATCCGTCGGGTTGCATAATTTGCCTGGTATCCGAGGCAGACATTTAGTAGACTATGAAGGTCTGACTTGCTTGCTTGCACTCTTGGTTGCCAGCTCGTCTTGTGCACAACAGCGTCGTCAGCTAATACCGACAGTGAAGAAAGTGAGTTGATCCACTATTTGCGTATCTCGTAACTGCCATGTCGCGACTGAACTCCCCGTTGCATAACAGTGGTGTAGTCGCGTAATCCACAGTTGTTCATCGCTTCCGTATGCGGTCACCTTGTGAGTTTGTCGATTTTCAGGTTTAACCACAATATCGCAGCCAAAGATTTTCACAGCAGTCACTTACTGAGCTCAACGAATAATTAAACATGGGAAGAAATTATTGCCATACAGTTCTCTTCCCCTTAGCAAAATCTCACAAGTAGAAACAACTCTACTGGGAAACGATTTTGGCGGTACGCTTTTTTCCACTAACAATTCTCTGTGAAAGAAAACCTCCCGGAGCAGTAAAGAAAGCAATGGAAACAATGGAAATTATCTGCGTTATTTACTCGGATTGCCCAGTGGTTAGAGCGCGAATTTACCAACCGGAGGATCCGCGGTCCGAACCCGACCTCCGTCTCTCGACTTCCCCTGTCTAGGTTTGGGCGACCTGGCAGTATCCCGGCCCTCTCGCTTCCTTCTGGTTGCATGGCAGCTACGCACCGAAAGGGTGCTAAAGCTGAATGACTAGGATATACTAGTTGATTCTTATTCCATAGAGTATGTATCACAGAAATAGCTAACACAAACCCACAACATTAGGGGTTCTTAGTTAGGCTTAATCAGATGAGGAAAATACAAGTTTTTATGACCTAGATGTAGCCACGCTGCACTAGTATGTGAGAATCACGGATGGCAAAATATTCAGTTCTATTCTATCTCATCATCACGAAAGTGGCTGACAAACATCCAGACCCGACGAAATTCCATCGACACTTTGTATAAGTATGCGATGTGATTCTTGCTGTCTACTATTTTACGAGGATTCACACCCTCGAAGGAGTATTGTTCAACCACCCCGCAGGTATTTCGTTGAATTTTGAATGATCATCGATGCATATATGTCGAAAATACTTTTAATCCTAGCCTAGTTGGCTGGAGGGATGTGCTCAAATGATAAAAACATTAAAAACACACCATAATAAATCAAAGAAGAAAGCCAAAGCTGGAGGTTCGGTTGAGTGTCTAGTTAAACGTACTCTTCAAATAAGTGTTTTTTTGCCAATTTGAGTATTCGAGTAGAGTATTAAGTAGGCGGGATTTAGGGGACCTCGTTTATTTTATGGGCTTCAAGAAGGGTGAAACTGGTAGCGGATTGCCCGAGGGTTTTCAACAAGGAAGGAAAACAGGATTTTATCGTTAACGGGTCTTGTTCGACAGATGTGAGTTTTTGACGTCGTGAACAACTAACCTTAATGCAAGAACTTTGATTTACTCAACTCTAACGATTAGTGCGACATACCAAAAGACACCCAAATTTCAAAAGTTTCTGCATACGATTCCTGTTTCAGATTGTTCAGTGAAAAGTTTTCCTCAATAGCTGTGATCAGTTGAATCTGATTATCCGACCGACCATAATCCACCTACAGTCTGTACATCTTGAGCGGGGTTCTATATCCCGCTAGCATTTCTTGTTGGCTTCTTTGATTTAAAACAACTGTGCAATGTTTAAATGCCTCAAGGTTTGTGTTACTTGTGTAGACTCAGGCTAAAAGGAATCCGTGGCACGACAGGCCCGATATGATACATTGTAAAGCAACAATATGTTGAAGCAATTTTTTATCTTTACAAAAGTATGCTGCAAGTACGGGATTACTACGTTTCACATACTTATATATGGATATCGGAAAACCAGAATCAATCATTCGTTCGACAATTCGAAAGCTGTCGTCCGGCGAAGACGCTGCGGATGACTGCAGCTCTCCTAATGTCGACAGGTGCGATATCTGGTCACAAAGATGACAAAATGAGATTATCCAAAGTCTTTACTACCCCAGTATGCCACAGTCTAACTGAGTGGAAACCTACAAGAAATCCTGCCGTTTCAAAAAATCATGGTCTCGAATGCGTAAATTGAAGTGAAAATGTGCACATCCATGACCGGATCGAATCAATTTCTTACCGTGTCCATCATTTGCCCACAATCGTCACCAACCAGCCTGACGTCCATCTCCAAATTAGCGATCCATGTTCATAAACTGGAAGTACACAGTGCCTGACTCGCCATAGACTCGGATAAATCCGAGTTTGACATCAAAAACCGGAACAACACATTACCTGGAATTCATATTAATCTGTAGTTTTTTCCAGAATTCGAGAGCCAATGAGTTCATTTCTTGGCGTAGCATTACTACTAAGATTAATAAAACCTATCGGATGTCTCGTCATTGATTCCTCTGTTTTTGGACGCAGGTAAGCCCTGGCCCCGAATTTCCATCGATCTTCGTTTTCGAAAAACTTTGGTGACAATCGGTAAATCTATTGCTAGGCGACGTTTCGCTTTTAACACAGCTTCGTCAGTTCCAAGGTTGGTCGAGATTCAAGGCGGAAAGAAAACCAATCAGCTAAGTCAAGCTAAATCTCTGTTGGGTGTCGGCCGAGGGATTCCTGTCTATTAGGGTGGGTGAACAAGTGTTGCGCCAATAGGGAAACATACATGTGTTTGGGTCCAGCCTAGGGTCTAGTTCTGGTTCGGTCCGCTTAATGACCCCCCTTTAACTTCGTTTCAACTTTTTGTCCGTTTCTGTGGGTGAGCTAGTGCTAAGGTAGTTATGTAAGAGAAATGCTGTGAACTTTGGTCGGGTTGGGATTTCCATCCCCACCCCCTGCTTTCGCTAATGATTCTACGTGGATTGACAACCACTTTGTCACGTGTCAACTCGGCTAATCTAAGACCGCTTCCCATACACTCGCCACCACCATGTGGGCTATCAGCCGCTGCGGTGCTAATCACAGTCTCCGTCTTAAAACTTCTACATTCTGCAGGTCTATTCTATATCTCGTGTCTAAGACATGTACCGCCATCGTCGATTATTCGACCAGCTTTTGGTATTCTTCTGCATTCCTTGGTGGTTTGTTTATCGTTCGCTTATGCTCACCAATTCCGGTGTGCAATACCCTGGCAGTTTGTCCTATGTAAGCCCTAATGCAGTTAATTTTATATACACAGCTCCTAGTCCCAGCAATGAATCTACCGATTGTCACCAAGCTTTTTTCGAAAACGATGACTACTCAATCGGTTCCAAGCATTTCTCATCAATCTTATTTTGCGCTTGGACACACCAGACAGACGCTCGTTTGTGATTTTAAATTACGTCAGGCTTCACGGAATCTCAGCTGATTCTGCCATTCGCAGCTTTCCTCGTCCCGTCTTGTTTGAATGACACTGATGACATTGAAATAGAGCTAATCACTCCCTATATTGCAACCGGATGTCGGTCCGTGAGGATTTTAACCTATTTTTATACTTCTTGAATGTCGTTAGTAGTATATAATTAGTTTGCCAGTGTTGCGTTCCACTACATCTTCGTGAGAGTATTCTCTAACCACGCGACTCCAAGATTTCTGGCGGTAGTTAGCACCGCAACGTTAAGTTCAGTCTTCTATAGTTTGTGCGTATACAATGGCCTAACTGTTGCATGCAACACATATGTTTCCTTCAATGATGAATTGTGCACGCGATTGCAGAACCAAAGGATGGGAAATATTCAGACCCAAATGTGTCGTATGCTCTACTACATCTACTGGCAATGGTGCACTCCCTCTTGCAAAAATTGACGAACATTATAATTCTAACGCGACATTGTCAGGTGACCTCAAGTGTACAATGCTCTGCACAAAGTCAAGAGACAAGAGGTCATTCATTGAAGACTTAGGGGAAAAAGCTCTCAGATTGGACGTTCTGCTCGCACCAAGATGGAAAAGCTTGACCTTCAGAACACAGGTAACTCTGTGGATCAATGCTTCAACTATAGCGGAAATGAATTAACAGGATTTGGCAAAACATTAAAGGCGATTTAAGTGTCCAAGGTTACTAAAATCGTCACATATCTGTATGAAATTCCTTCATCAGGGTAAGCGTATTTCGCGATCTCCATTCGGCGATTGGAGGTCAGTGTGGCCGTCTTTTGTATGTCAGAATGGGTGCATTGGGGCTGGAGGTTGGAGGCCCACCGAATTTCAAATGGATAGTTGATTTAACCTTTTCATGTCGTCTGCGTTGTCTTGCCATTCTAGACTTCATCGTGTGCTTACTCGTTGCTCTCACTGAGTGTAATTGTCCTGGCATATTTTGCGGCATTTTAGTGGTGCCCTTTTACATGGACGTTCTCAGGGTGGCAATGTATTGTGTGCTTCATTCACATTTCAGGTCCTTAGAAACTTATCGTGTCACTTCGCAACGCGGAATTGGATCGTTGGTACATTGCTCTGCATCTTTGGTGGGCTTTCAGAAAATTGTTCAAAGGAAAAGCCACAGTTGCAATCGACTCCTTCACTTACCGAATTGGTTGTACATTGCTCTGCATCTTTGGTGGGCTTTCAGAAAATTGTTCAAAGGAAAAGCCACAGTTGCAATCGACTCCTTCACTTACCTTAGAACCGCAGTCTTCAATTTCTGTAGCACAGCGTGATTCTGAAGTCAAATCACTTCGGCAATCGAAACCGAGCGTCAGCAACAACATATTTCACACAGGATTCGAAGCCGCTCTAGGATGTTGGGTTCGCGTGTTCCATCCGGTTTCGCAACCAATTCAGTCTTTTCCCCCTGAAACCGAAGAAGGCCAGTCTAAAGCAAGCCAGGAATCGGACATTGGGGAATCACTTGCGTTCTACTGCGAACCTACAGCTGGTACATCTGCAACCCCTACGCGTAATCACATGATTCATCCGCAAGCCGCAGCTGCCGTGTCCAATGTTTTGCTCGATACGCTGGGTGATTTGGCTAAAGCATTTCCCGCTCACTTCTATCCACGCTTGTCCGGGGATCAGAAACCCGGACCGGAGTCGTCAGAGCTACTCGTGACTCCGCACAAGATCGATTGTAAGCGACACATCTACTGTGGACTGGAATTCTCTTTCGTTTGTTGAGACTGAGTTACATACGAATGATCATGTTCACGGTCGATCGGCGTTCCACCTCCAGCTTTTTTAGTTTGGGACCGGTCTAATTTTGACTTACCTTGTTACCTTACACATGCAGAGCAACTTTTTCACTGGTTGACGAGACGGTAGCTTTTATACATTATTCATGTTTCGGAAGTTACACTTTACTGTGTCTCTGGTAGTATACATTTGGCTAAGGGAGATACAAAAGGTCTTTAGTGGTGAGTTGATGGTAGGTGAACTATTTTCCTCCCACTTTGAATGCCCAAAGTAGCCCTCACTCTTCCAGATTCCCTATTTAAGTAAAATGTTCCTACCATACGCATCATCTCTCGATGGTATAAGTGTACGATCGCACTCCTCGATACACTGTTTCTCATATGTGTGGGCAGTATTTCGGTTTTCGATGGCGTCCTCACACTTTAGGACGCATGCAGCCAAGCATTCGACATTTCCCGTCTCTCAGTGACGTTGGTTAGCTTCTCAATAAAAGACATATTTTCGGAGGACAGGTAATTGCGTGTCCTTGATCAACGATCGTTTACATCACCTCACTTAACTGAACAACGAACGATTACTTTGAGAATCCACCATGATTGACCGTTTAGTGGGTGAAAAACAAGTCAAGTGCATTGGACAAATATTCTTATTTCATGCCAATTTGTTTTTCGTGGAAGAGATTCACCTGAATACCAGCTGATTCTTTTGTGGGTAGTCGAAAAGTTTTCAGTGAGCCTATGAGTAGTTTGCTTCCGAAAATCGAGCGCATCTTATACCAGTCCGTATTTAACACCAGTAGCCAGAAAATGACGCTGGAAATTCTACAAATGTTGATCGACACAGATTAAAAAAGTTGACATTCTATCTTGCTGCGTATGTAATTTTCAACTTTCTTCATAAAATAGGGCCTCGTCCACCGTTTTGGGAAATTTTTGATCGACTATCCGAATCTGCTCCTGTTCTGGGATCAGTGTCATCTTCGCCAGCTCACCCGCGATCCGCTCGTCGCCCTACCCATGGCAGTGCCAGAAAACGTCATGGGTCTACTTCTCACAAACAACAGACCAGTGCTGCTCCGCGTCCAACACCAATGGACGTGTCTTTGCATGGTGAGCTACCTGTATTCATATATTATTATGGTCACTTTATTTCAGTCGTAGAGTTATCCTTTATTACTTAACTAGCTTTGCCCTACTCGAGGACACATTTTGCCATTTTCCTGATGGAAAACTCGCAGCCACTGGTCATGCGTTTCTGCAGGCGACATACTAGGGCAGTGTGGTGGGGGCTGGAGGTCACATAATCCCAAAAACAAGTGACCGGAATTACACCCCCAATGGTTATCGGGTTAGCAGTGCTCAGCCTTACTCGGAAACCTGAACGAAGAATGCATCCGATTGCTAAACTTTTCTTTGATAATATATACCCTTACCTATTCTTTCCGTCCACTTTAAACGCCCAATTCAAAGAGATCTGTGTGGTTTTTCCAAACTTAATCATATAAGTCATCCAAATAAGTGCATCAATCCACTCTTCGGTAAATTCGTGAGTCGTGACCAGGTATCCATTATGAATTTGGTCACCCATTCTTATTAAGATGACAACTTTTATTTGACTATCCCGAACCTTTCCCTAACACCATTGAGTTCGCGTCCACTTAAAGTTTCAAGCAGTACCAGGCAACACATCTAGCCATTTCATCATAAGGCTTATTTGCACTCACTCCACTCGTCATCATTTCAATCATCGCCATGACTGTAACAACAACATTCCTCAGATCAGTTCTAATCCTAACGTTGACCCCAGTAGTGGAGTTCTCGTAGACTATTCTCTCCTTGTGGAACAATCTAAAGTTCGACTTACTTTTCTGTAAGCTGTGCGAGCAATATCCATTTGTTGCAGTTAGGGTTGGGATTACGCTTACCTGTTCCAACTATGTCACTACCTGTTGTCGGATAATCTAAAAGCAGTTATTGGTTTAATGGATGTGAGATAACTTATCAACTTTGAGTTGTGGCCGCTTGGAACCCACTCTAGACTCTACAGCATTGTTTTCCTCAAATTGACCATTTTTGTCGAGGATTATGGGTCACGCTTCAGTGGCTGAAGCTCACATAGTTTACATTGTAGTTTAGCAGGTCTTGGCCTACACAGCCGATTGTCCCTCTTAGGGGATACCAATTGCCGGTTCTGCACCCTCCAAGTGATGCGAAAGGTCATCGTACTCCCTGAAGTTTAATTAACGTGTGTTTCATGCGAGTTTTTTTTATCTGAGGTATTCCTGTTATCACATGAGAGTGACGCTTTTCGAGTAAGGATAATTCTCCTTCTCTCTGAAGCTTCTCTTATGAAGCGGACAAAATCGATAAAAACACGGAGTAGTCACCATTGATTAAAAACAGTAACCCATGATCAAGGTTGATGAAACTTGTGTAGGTCTGGTGGGCCATGTAATTCTTATAAGTGATTTTCGAATTGAGATTCCGCCCTGGAAATGAAGCCGAGAAACACTCTACACGTGTTTCATCCTTGCTGGGAATCATCAATAGTGCACATCTCAACCGAATTACCGTATCTCTTCATACTACCATACCATACTACCACCAGTGATAAATAACTGTCCAACCACGCAAGATTCACTGTCTGTCTAAATCGTTTCTGTTGATTGTACTTCATAACTTGGTGTAGTAGCAGCTAAATAATCAAATTTATACCCAGTTTCGGCGTTGTCCTTTCTAGCATGCGTACGGTATGTGTACATACGCCCGTTTTACGAAATACCTTATCCTTCGAATGACAGTTGTCTCCACATGAGCATCCATAGACATACATTGGGGTGGTCTGATAGGAGAGTTTGTTCCTTGGTTCTTGTTCGTTACTGAGATGGATGGTGAGCACTACGCTTGAGCCTGTGAAACAAAATTTTTTTTTGATATTTCGTATCTTCATGTCACTTCACATCGCCTGTCAAAGGAAGATGAAGTTACTTCCACTTGAGTATTTGCTGCTTTGTAGTGTTCTTTGGAATTCAGCATGTTTCTCCAAGAACCTTTCAGGGTGCTTGTTTTGCTCTAACACATTGGCCAAACTGTGTGGTGAGCAACATTTCACCACCCTATCATGCGGGGAATAAACGAGACTCCGGTTGAGTTTGAGGAGGCAAAGCTGCATAAATCTTTATCTTGACCTGTCAGGTGTCGATTTGGATGCCTTACTCTAGTGGCACGTCAAAACAGAGTGGCTGTTCCAACTAAGATGCAGAGCATATATATCTATGAATAAATTCCATTCGAAGCCGGATCAATAGAAGCATCACATATCATAAGAGCATTTGCCTTCCGTACTATCACCATGCCATAGAAGTATCCATCAAATTGGTCGTCAGATTCTGCTGTTGAATCCTCAAGGCTCAACACAGAAAAACCCGAAAGCCCCAGGCCACTCGTTTATCCATAAAGTCGTCCATTAAGCAGGATTTGGATGTTCGATGCACACCACGAGATTGTTCATCTCAATTTCACTAGAGTTCAGACTATACCTCTCTTGTTACTACCAACTACATTATCTATACAGTACAGTCTCTAAACGAATGTCGTGTGTACAAATTTACACAATGTATACCTTCATATCGTTCGCAATATTTGAATGGAACTTGTTTGCACGCGGTGGCTTTTTTAGTTCGAGTACACTGCATAACCACCTGGCCACATCGACGCGGTGAGTTGTGCGATTACACCGTGTACAGTATACTCGAACCAATCTTGGTAAGTAGGATTAACTAGGAGGCATTTTTCGAAAACGACCGATCGGTTACCGTGATAACAACGTAGCTGGCTCTCACATGTGTGAAAGTAGACAGCTCCAAGACGGTAAATTGCATCTAATGGGCATTCAGACTGGAGCAGTCATGAATAGTTTAATGGCTCGACCTATTTACATGATTTTCACGCCGTTCTGAAAATAACTTAGTGTTGAAAATCGGCGAGAACGCTCTTTCCTGCCTCACCCCCCTTTAGTTCTAAGTTAGCACCAACAATGACGGCGTTGATCTATACATCACTACTGGCTTGCCATACCTTTTCTCTTGGGAGTAATCAGGTTGCTTGCATAGCCCAAAATGAACTCTACCAGTACTCCCGATTAAGTAAGCTTTAACTCTGGACATCGGTGAGCAGGAGTTTTCTACCGCCGACCGGTTGCTAGTCAACCAGTTTAATTCATTTCCTACCCGAGCTGTCTCTAGCGTTCTATATTGAAGCAGTCGCGCAGTGCAACTGAGGAAATGGGTATTTAAATGTCGGTTAATTTTGTTCATATTTCGATTTCCAGGCTCCAAAACTCATCTTCAAGATCAACTACCGGATACAGGGATACGTGCTGAAGTTGATGAGCCCACTGGGCCGTGTCGGAAACGTCTTACTTCTTTATGGGCCTCTGTGGACTACTTTTCCCAGATGGCAGACTTACTGTGCCATCCACTTTTGCAAAATAGGCCATCCAACCAAGAACGTGTTCTCACCATATTGGCGGGTATTTTGAAGGAATTCATTGTTAACCGTGGACGTATGGAAGAGCAGTCAGCAACAACCGGTCAAACGGCCGAAACAGTGGCAACACCGTCACAACCAAGTGAACAACTCGAACAGGTAATTGACACTCCTCGTACACTTCTTGTTCAATTCTTGTAAACTTTTTTCTGTGCACTTTCACCACCCTATCATGCGGGGAATAAACGAGACTCCGGTTGAGTTTGAGGAGGCAAAGCTGCATAAATCTTTATCTTGACCTGTCAGTGTCGATTTGGGATGCCTTACTCTAGTGGCACGTCAAAACAGAGTGGCTGTTCCAACTAAGATGCAGAGCATATATATCTATGAATAAATCCTATTCGAAGCCGGATCAATAGAAGCATCACATATCATAAGAGCATTTGCCTTCCGTACTATCACCATGCCATAGAAGTATCCATCAAATTGGTCGTCAGATTCTGCTGTTGAATCCTCAAGGCTCAACACAGAAAAACCCGAAAGCCCCAGGCCACTCGTTTATCCATAAAGTCGTCCATTAAGCAGGATTTGGATGTTCGATGCACACCACGAGATTGTTCATCTCAATTTCACTAGAGTTCAGACTATACCTCTCTTGTTACTACCAACTACATTATCTATACAGTACAGTCTCTAAACGAATGTCGTGTGTACAAATTTACACAATGTATACCTTCATATCGTTCGCAATATTTGAATGGAACTTGTTTGCACGTGGTGGCTTTTTTAGTTCGAGTACACTGCATAACCACCTGGCCACATCGACGCGGTGAGTTGTGCGATTACACCGTGTACAGTATACTCGAACCAATCTTGGTAAGTAGGATTAACTAGGAGGCATTTTTCGAAAACGACCGATCGGTTACCGTGATAACAACGTAGCTGGCTCTCACATGTGTGAAAGTAGACAGCTCCAAGACGGTAAATTGCATCTAATGGGCATTCAGACTGGAGCAGTCATGAATAGTTTAATGGCTCGACCTATTTACATGATTTTCACGCCGTTCTGAAAATAACTTAGTGTTGAAAATCGGCGAGAACGCTCTTTCCTGCCTCACCCCCCTTTAGTTCTAAGTTAGCACCAACAATGACGGCGTTGATCTATACATCACTACTGGCTTGCCATACCTTTTCTCTTGGGAGTAATCAGGTTGCTTGCATAGCCCAAAATGAACTCTACCAGTACTCCCGATTAAGTAAGCTTTAACTCTGGACATCGGTGAGCAGGAGTTTTCTACCGCCGACCGGTTGCTAGTCAACCAGTTTAATTCATTTCCTACCCGAGCTGTCTCTAGCGTTCTATATTGAAGCAGTCGCGCAGTGCAAATGAGGAAATGGGTATTTAAATGTCGGTTAATTTTGTTCATATTTCGATTTCCAGGCTCCAAAACTCATCTTCAAGATCAACTACCGGATACAGGGATACGTGCTGAGGTTGATGAGCCCACTGGGCCGTGTCGGAAACGTCTTACTTCTTTATGGGCCTCTGTGGACTACTTTTCCCAGATGGCAGACTTACTGTGCCATCCACTTTTGCAAAATAGGCCATCCAACCAAGAACGTGTTCTCACCATATTGGCGGGTATTTTGAAGGAATTCATTGTTAACCGTGGACGTATGGAAGAGCAGTCAGCAACAACCGGTCAAACGGCCGAAACAGTGGCAACACCGTCACAACCAAGTGAACAACTCGAACAGGTAATTGACACTCCTCGTACACTTCTTGTTCAATTCTTGTAAACTTTTTTCTGTGCACATTAAGTCTTTGCTGTACATCCTGATTTTTATGTTCCCTGTACATTTTGTCGCAGCCGATCCCTCCGGAAGCTGTAGTTGGGCAACCTGAATCCTCAGCTACCGGAGTTCAAGAACCGACAAAGGCCACCAGTACGTCTGTGCCACCAGATTTCGTTGGTTCCATTAGACCGGAAGCACTAAAGACGCTGTGTGAATTTGTCTGCTCGCCGAAGTCCACTGAGTCCGGTCGCAGTATGGCAGCTCAGCTGATTACCGACTTGGCACATACCAATCGAGACATGAAGGAGTTGATGCTGAGTCTACTCGCAGAGTCCCTAAATGCATTAACCAGAAAACTGAGCATCCAATTGCAGGTAACCTGCGTTCTTGCCGTTGTTGAGAGTCTTTTTTTCGAAGATGCATTTCACCCATCTAGGATTGGTTACGTTTCCATGTATTTGATGCCCGGCGCTACGCCAGTCGTCATTCGGTATGCCTCACTGGTCGATGCCAGCATGGTTCTTCGGGTGATCCTACAGTTATGCAGACATTCATCAATCACCTCAGAAGTTCTGTCAGCGCTGTCTGCTTCTGTTAGTTAGAGTAATCCTGTTGACACGGCTTTGCCATGTAGCTACCTGTCTATGGTCGGATGAAATTATAACCATGATGCGTAACCACCCTTTTCGTTTTCGACCGTCATTTCCATTTTTTCATGTGTCTTAGTTGATCTTTGTGATATTCAGTTATCCCTATCGGCTACTAGCATTGTGGATGATCGATCTGCCTTTCAATACCACATTACTGTAAGCGCCAGAGCCATCAGATCGACAACCAGTGCCATTTGATGTGGTGATTCGTGTGGCACATTTCTGCAGTTCTTGATAGGAATAAAAGTTTAGGGGATACCGGAATCTTTTTAAAACGTGCATAGGATTCATTAGAAGTAAATCTATTGAAACTTCAGGTTTATGCTATTCAGTGTCTCGTAGGAATCTCAAAAAATGTGGACTACCTGCAAGATACATTTTAAAAAGTTTTTAATCCTTTCGTCATGCACCATTGACTACTCAAATTTATAATAACTAGGAACGATTAATTGGAGAAATACTTTCAGTGTTAACAGGAGACTCAAGTGGATCCCTGTAAAATCTGTCGTTTATGATCCTACTCAAGCGAATGTATCATACACAAACCGCCCCATGCTTCGGTTGGTATAGTATTAGAGATAGCAGATTGTATTTTCTGACAGAATACACAATTCGTAGGGTTGTTGAAAACTGTTGGACAGCCTACTGCCGGTTCCATGCCTCCTGGGATTAGTCAAACAAGATGAGTTTCCGACAACCTGATAATCTACTTGGAAATCAAGCCATACGCATTTGCTTATGATACTGTTCAAGTGGTGTGTTCCGTTTAGAAGCGGCTAGCTTCGGATATGGAAACTTTTAAAGTCAAAACACAATGCAGTTGAATAAGATGTCATAATTCGACGTTTCAATTGCCGTGGCCAACCTTTTTCAAGGATCCCGACAATCAATTGAATAAGAGTCGAGTTACGGCAGTGAAGCATCGGTGTTGAACATTGATGTCATGCTGTCGATGATGATGATGCTGATGAAGAGTCAAGTCATTTGGGTCGGCTATTCAGCCATTTAACCTTCCGAACAATGGACACTCACGACTTTATGGAATTGTTGATCTGATAACGAGTGTTCTTTGAATGCCAACGGGTCGGTCTCGGTTTCCAAGATCGTTTTACTCAGTGACTTTTGATCCAACTTGACTTCCGTTTTTGAAAATCTCCAAAACTACCCTGATATGAACGCAGTGCTTGTTTTTCAGCCACTGTTTAAAGCGTCTTGTTCTGAAATGCAAACTGATCTCAGGAATACACTAATCAGAAGACATGATAGCGGACCAAAATGACACTGCACTTGCCTCTTATTTAATCAATTTTTGGAATCCTTGAAAAAGGTTGAGCGTGGCATCCAAACCGTTGGATTATAATGCCTTGTTTTTGACTTTGAAAGTTTCCATATTATACACCACATGGCGTTCAGTCTTTTCAGCAATATCCTGACCGATTTTGGCCAGGAACTCCTACAAACAAATTCGGATACTGATTCCCCTACGCTTTCGTTCTCGTTATATTTGCTGCAATCAAATTGCGGTTCAATCGTGCACTTTTCTACCTGAATTCTTTGTTCACAGGAGTTTTCGGACGAGTTGACATCGCAGCTTAAGAGCGATACGGTCATTTCATTGAAACAAAAGGAGCGTACTATGAAACCATCCTCATCCATTTCTCGACTTGTCTCGATGGATGTGCTGCCTGATCGATTCAGTAGTTCCGGTCAAACTGTGGTTGTATCCGGTGGTGATTCCCGTCCCAACCCGGCCACTGCTTTCTGCGATCTCCAACTGAAATCTATTCAGGCATTTACCTGTCCGAATAATGAACAATCACGACTTCGTGGAATTGTTGGTTTGATGGTTCGCTTGACTGCTGGCGAGTGTTCCTTGAACGCCAACGGGTCGGTCTCCGTTTCCAACCAAGATCCGTTTGCTTCTATCACTTCGCTCAGTGAATTTTGGCCCAAGTTGAGTTCCGTTTTTGAAAAACTCCAAAAGTGCCCTGACATGAATGCAGTGCTTCTTTTGCAACCACTGTTAGAAGCGTTCTGTTTGGCTCACTTGCACTTGGTCAAAGACTCGATTATGATCCGTCAGCGCTCCGCCACGTCGCGTGCTAATCGACCGACAATCACAGTGACCGCCCCCGGTGCACACAGTCTAGTCGATATGATTCCGATGCTTCAAGTCCGGGTCGATTCCTCTACACCTGCTCCAGAACGTGACGAGGTTCGCGAACCTTCGATAAACGAAAACACCACACATCTGCAGTTGGATGTGATGGGTCCAATGTCACCACCAACCTTGAGCACTGAAGATGAGAAAGCATTTAGTGATGATGCAGCCCGATGTCGCCGCAGCTCTTCAAATTCAGCAACCGCGAATGCAGTCTTGCAGTTTGCTGAGCAACATCGGATTGGACTGAATCAAGTTCTACGTCAACATGGTGGGAGTTTAGGGGAGTCGCCCTTTGCTGTATTTTTGGCCTATCCACGTGTTCTCGATTTTGACATTAAACGGCGATTTTTCCGGCAACAGCTTCAAGCCCTATCCCACCGCTCACCACTCTCCAACCGTTACGATGATGAGCCAATTTTGATCTCCCGTGATCGCCTTTTTGAGGACAGTTATGCGCGCCTGCACCGCAAGTCGCCTGCTGAGTGGAAGCACAAGTTTGTGATCCGATTTCACAGTGAGTTATGCGGCAGTCGTGGACGCTATTCACCTTTCATGTTTACCTTATGGCGTAGCCCAAACTGGTTAACAAACTTAAGTCAGAATTCCCCTGAGGGTTCGAGATAGCTCAGTGTTTAAGGTACCAGCTTTCTGACCGGAAAGTCCTTGGTTCGAACCTGATTTCAGCTTCTCGACTAATCCTGTTTAGGCTTGGGCAACCTGGCAGTACCTCAGCCATCCTCCAGGTAACATGCAGTACCAAATGGGTTCAACAGCTGAACGGACTAATTGAAAACGAACGAACACTCGTGAAACGGTTTGACAGCCAACACGCGCTTATAGTCATTGTCACTGATATCTGTATTTTCATCCATGGCCTGGTTGCGATACTTTGCAACACCTTGCACAATTATTAATACGAGTGCCGTGAATGATTACTAAGATAAACTGTTCAATGTCTGCTTCCAGAGACCTACGTACATGCTATATATTTTCCCTACTCCTACGCACCTACCGTCGTACATGAGTTTTTTGTGTGTACGTATAACCTGCCCAAAACAGTTGGTGATCGCACCACCGACAGATATGTTCTCTAAAAGTCTATAAACTCCTGAGATAGATGTTATCAGCCCGGTGACTGGAGACAAATTCAAGGTCTCATTCAGTTTCACAAGTAGCAACCTCCACCATTTAGGTTCCATTTAGATATTACAAATTTCTTTTAGGTATTATCATGCAGTGAGAGGCGAACTTTCCCTCTATCCATATCTTTGTCGTTTCCATTTGTTTCAAAAGACGAAGAGGGTCAAGATGCTGGTGGCCCATTGCGTGAGTGGTACTTGTTGATGAGCCGTGAAATCTTCAATCCCAATTATTGTCTGTTCCGCACGTCACCTGCCGATCGTGTCACGTACACCATCAACCCGAGCTCATACATCAACAGTAACCACCTTTCATACTTCAAGTTCGTCGGCCGATTTATCGCCAAGGCGATTTACGACAGCAAACTGCTCGAGTGCTACTTCTCACGAGCATTCTATAAACATATACTTGGTGTTCCAGTCAAGTAAGTTCCTTGTTTAACGATTCACCTATTTATTCTAACTGTACATTCTACCGTCGTTAACATCGTGCTCTGTGGAGGCTTTATTTAGTTACGTGATTTTTTTTCCATTTTGAGGGGCACTTTGTGCGCAGATATGATGCTTGTAAATAGGAATTCCAGCCAAATTACAAAAGCGTAATACTGTTTTTTGAGTGGCGCATTAGACTAACTTTCACAAACTATGTTTTCATTGTGTGATCATCTCTGCCCACCAGTCATTGGGAATAAGGAATTATGCACCTTGTTAAACGGGTCATGACCGATTCCTATTTTACTTGCTTTGCTCTCTTATTTTGTCTCTACAGGTGCTCTGATTTGGAAAGTGAGGACTACGACTTTTACAAAGGTTTGGAGTTTCTTCTGAAGAATCATGTTTCCGACTTGGGCTACGAGCTTACTTTCAGCACAGAGGTGAGTTCTCTGTGTGAGACTCTCGCTCTCGCCTCACCTAGACTTATTTGTTTTAACTGAGAGACATATTCAAGATCCACGACCGTTTCCATTTTGTGGTTTTTCCTTAGAATCCTTTAAAGGTGCTACTCATAGTTGGTGATTGTCGAGTGATCGGATTTTTTGTTGTTTGTGACTATATCTTAGTTGATTGGAGAAATTGGTGTATTCACTTCAACTGTTTTCCCTATAAATGACGCATATGCCAGCACCACAGATACGACTGCCAGACCTGTTGGTAAAAGTACAAATCCACGTTTGAAAGAGTCCAGGTTTCGTTATCTCCGCCTTCTCACCCTCTGGTGGGGTCAAGTCGATAACGCTATGCACTTCGATAAACGTTTCTCAAGATGCAGTTTATCATCTATTGGTGTATCGCAATATATGTTCGCATTCTCTAGAAATCAGTTCTTAGATCCATCGATATTCTCATCTTCTAACCATGCATCCTCTTGATTTTGGCTATCTGTAGATCAACGAGTTTGGTAAGACTGAAACTCGAGACCTCATAGAAAATGGTCGGAATGTTCCCGTAACGGAACAAAACAAGAAGGAATACGTTCGTCTTGTATGTCAGGAAAGGATGACCGGGGCTATCAGACAGCAGTTGGACGCGTTCCTCGCCGGCTTCTATGAAATTATCCCGAAGCGAATGATCAGTATATTTAATGAACAAGAACTAGAACTGCTTATAAGTGGGTTACCAAACATCGATATAGGTGACTTGAAAGCTAACACGACCTATTCAAAATACCATCCAAACTCGCCACAGATCGAGTGGTTCTGGTGTGCACTGGAATCGTTCGACCAAGAGGACCGTGCTCGCTTTCTCCAGTTTGTCACCGGAACCAGCAAAGTTCCCCTGGGTGGTTTTGCGAATTTGGAAGGAATGCATGGACCGACCAAATTCCAGATCAGTCGAGCGAGCGTGTCTAGCACAAATCATCTGCCATGTGCTCACACGTGGTAAGTTTTTTCCACCTGTGTAAACCGGTACAACCCCTGCTTATTTGTTTCAACTGCTGTGTAAAGGTAGTTCGACGTTTCGCTCATTACCGTATTGTTAACTGCATGTAAAAAGGGAAGGTTTTTTCAAACGGATCTATATTATGTAGTTTTAAGTTTCCAAAACGACTGGAATAGTGTGAGTGCGGTCTGTGCACAGTATTTTTCCTTATTTTACGTAGCTCAGTTCCATTCGGTTTAGGTTGTCTTAATTTAGTGACCAGAACCCATGCCGTTGTGTGTGCTTTGTCCATGGATGGATCATACATCTGGCTAACAGGCCTAGCATATATTCATGGGTCAGCTGATCGGTTCCTGGTTTCCCTTAGCTCTGGTTACAAGCAGCTGTTTTGTGTGACAATCCACAACCAAACGCACCGCGTCTATGGTCGTATCCAACCAGTTAAGGGTATTTTCAGGGCCTCCAACCAGTCATTGGTGGTCAATGGGTGAAGAATCTTCCGCTAGATTAGGTCACCTTGGTCTGGCGGCCATGATATCCTCAGATCCTTCCCCGCACATGATTACAAAGGTTTAGCCTGCAGCTTCAGGCAAAAACTGAGTGGCGTTAAGTACATCACTTGTGTCATGTCAACCGAGAAACTCGCTTCGCGCATGGTGCTTCCATGCAAATGGCTACTCACACTTAATAGTATTTTGGATAATTTTCTTACTAGGTTCATGACTGCTTTAGTTTACATGTGAAATTACGCAAATGGTGCACGAGTGCTAGTTTGTTTATGTATCCGGTTTCCTGAAGGAATTACAACGTTTTTGTCCTCTCCTCTTTAGCTTCAATACTTTGGTCTTACCGGCCTACGAAACCTATGAGCAACTTCGCGCTCGACTACTGACGGCAATTCGGGAATGCAGCGAAGGCTACGGAATGGCTTGATTGGCTGTTCTCTCACCCGACTCTTTGTCTGTGATGAAATCCTCGCCCATTCTCCATTTTCTCCAATTATCCGCCCACGTTTCGCTGTCAATTTACCGCTTTCCCCGGACTATTTACCCTTTGAAGACTATGCACTTAATCGTCTTCATGGAATCGCGTTTTTTTAGAAAAATTCATCTGGGCTATTTTTCCCTCCTGCCCAGGGAGCACCAAGAAGTGAATGGACTGACAAATTAGATCCCAAAATGTCAGATCATTTCAGCGCTCCTGTATATGCCTCACTCTCGTTCTGTCGCAGTCCCGTTTTTCCATGTTTGTTGCTCATCTCGTGAAATATGACTCACTCCATGCATTCTCGTATTGTTCTCACACTCCGAGTCCCGTCCATCCTCTTCAGAACGACGGAACTTCATTGAATTTTTCGTCCATTTGATTGTTGTGTGGATACCTTAGCGAAATACCGAATCAGCTCTCTCCCTCATAAATCTGGGGGCCGGTTCATTACCCCACTGTTTCACCATGTTTTTGAACTTGAAAGCTTTGATGCCGTTTTCTACTTCACTTGTGCGTTCTTTTTATCTACGGGGATGAAACCTGGTCACATTTGAGCGTGGTCCGCATCCAACAGCGATCACTCTAGACCGATAATCGAATACACACTTTCCACCTATCGCCGCGTGGAAAAGCCTAACTAGTTTAGTAGATAATCTTTTTCGGTATTAGCATTGGCTCCGATGGTGTTTTATAGACAAATCAGATGACCAGATAGAGGTGCACTAAATGATCAAATCACCTACACCTTGCGGTGGGTCGCGCGTGCCACGTCAGTTATTATTGTTGGGTTACTATTGAAATCGGGTCGGATCGTTCTCGCCTAAGCAACTTGCAAGAGCAAATGGTTCGATTTCGCCTCCTGAGTTGCACTACGATAGTCGAAACTAATGCTAGTCGATAGTTCACTACAACTTTCATGCATTGTTAGATTACGCGTCTGTAAATAAATGGAACGCAACCTGATGCTAACGCCGATCACTTTCGTTTTCCAGCAACTAGCCACTTGCAGTTTTCACAGAATGAATTTTGAACCGTGCAAGCGCCCTGCGCATTTGATGGATTCATCACAACAAAAGTTGTTTAACTATATGTGTTCCGTACGTTTATTACCCGTAACGTTCTCAGAGCAATACGCCGAGCAGGCCGATCGATCACAATTATCTACATCAAGAGTAGACAGCCAATTCTGCAGCACCTTTGAGAGATAAGTGACCAGAGGATAGGTTATAAATTCCAGTCAGTCGCATTTGGGCGAGATGCCTCGGTGGTTAGAGCGCGAATTTACTAACCGGAAGGTCCGTGGTTCGAACCTGACCTCCGTCTCTCGACTTCCCTGTCTAGGCTTGGGCAACCTGACAGTATCCCAGCCCTCATGCTTCCTTCGGGTGGCATGGCAGCTAGACACAGGAAGGGTTCTACAGCTGAACAATTGTTTTCTTTTGTTTACCTGTGAGCTGTAGTAGAATATACTCGAACGAAGTAGTTTTCCAGAGCATACGTGGTCATATGCTACGACAGCGCGGGCACAAAAGTGGTGGCAACGCGTCATCCTAGCATTGGTGCGGTGAAGTATACCTGGATGAGGCCTTGGCTAGCCAACTAGACCGGTTACAGAAGAGCTTTGCCTCATTGATTGACGGGCTGTCATTTCAAGAACCCCGGATAGGGGCGATAGGCAGGAAATCGACCAAGCATGGCACATGCACACGGTCACGATGAATACAACGTACTCTCTACGTGAATGTAGAGAATAGACGCAAGTCGGGTGATGGCTAAACATAGTTTTATATGTTTATATATAGTTTTATAGTTTTGTGGGATGGACGAACTTCACGCAGGTTGAACCTTGTAGTCACAAGCTGTGTGCCAAGAATTTATTGGTTCCATCTACTACGAATAAACGGGAAAATAGAAGATAATGCAGTGCCTACTCACTGGAAAGCAAAATTACCATACAGGATCTTTCTCCGGTTACATCATAGTATCTTTTGTTTCACGGCATCTTAATTTTTCTATACGTTATGTTGTACGCATGTACGTGGGAACACCTGACGTGCACGCGAATCCGTAGGTCCGACTGTTCCAGTTACTGCAATTTATCCATTTTCCCACTCCCAGAAGCTTATCAAGATGGTAAACCAAAAAGTACTGAACTGTATCTACGAGTGGGGGTACCACAAATGCAGCAGGTGCGCAGCAAAACTAAAGGAATATTGAGAAGCTAGTGAATTGTGTGCAGTTGCAAAAAAAGTTAATGAAGCACCGGTTTTCTGGTACAGTTTTGTATAAGGAGACGTAGGAAACATCTCACAGTCATGTCTTATTATCTTGAACACAATCATAAGCTGATGAAGATTTTTTACGATTTACTTCCGGTGATTCGACGGTTAGCTGAAGAGGACTTTTGCACGAGTACAATGTAGGCTCTGACAAGTTCTGTAAAATACAATACTCACCATTTCGGTTGATTTATGTGTAAGTGCTGCTTACGCATGACCTTGCTCATTAGGCCTTGGTTCATGAACTTTCCCCTGTTTTCAATCCACAGAAGTCGTCGTGACCACCTGTTTTCGGCGGATCACTGCCGAGTAGACACCTGGCCATCGTGGCCAACGGTGACTAGCGGTCACTGTTGTTCAACGTTATTAACACTGATTCTCGTTACGCATACAAGTTAAATATATTAGTCCTTGGGTAAAAGCCTCCCGAACCCAGAAAAACAGGATTGATCGGAGGCTGCGGTCCTGTTTAAAAAGTCGCCTTTGAAACGCGTTCGTTTGAACACAGCCGATTCAATATGTCGTGTATTTCGAGGGGTCTGTTTCTGACAACCGTAGTTATCGTCTGCTTAACCGGTTCTCTGTTTCGTTCATTTTCACGACTATCATCAATCAGTGGAATGTAAATGTCCTGAACTCAGGTAACGGTTCTTGCAGAATTATGAACGTAGTGTGGCGCAGAAACAAAATCGTTATTCCAGAAAGTGTGAATTATTTTCTCGTATCTGTTTATTCTGTGGAGGCAGTGATGTATGGGAGCAACGACACGGTTGTAATATCTTGACCTCAGGAAAGCAACACAGTTTAGACACTCTACAGAGGACCTGTTGTACTTGTGGGTTTGATTGAAATTTCCTTGGTTTGTTCATTGTTGTGTATTTATTTCGTCATCCTATTTTTCAAGTTGATTACACTAGCCTTGCTTAAAGCAGAAGATGCGTATTTTTCCAGGCTTTTTGAACATGTATGGGCCGCTGGCATTTGATGGATGATGTGAGGGTACATGGGACCCTTTGAGTCATTTTTGGGTAAACTGAGAAAGCATGTTATCGGACTTCGTAATACCATCTTTCAAATACGACGTATTGCTAGAAAGGCAGCATCAGCTTCTGCTGAGAGGTTGGACTGTCTACCGACAGGTGACTGTGGGGAGATTATGCACCCCTTCGATTCTGTGGTTTACTCTTTCGCTCTATGGCATCCACGAAAGATGATTTTTGTAATGGTTGTCCCATTTTTCAGGAAACATGATCCCAAGTACTCATTCAGTAGTGACGGACGTGAAAAACGACGAGTCTAAAGAACCTCAAAAATTCTGCATAACTGGGGACTGCTTGGCTGTGTCTCTGCGGGGTAAATATGCAGTTCCGATAAGTTGTTTGTACCCATCCATGACCAAAATATCCTACTCACTCTGGTTACGTTTCAAAGTGCATTTTATTCTCCTTATGATTAGATGAACTGCGTGACGGAAGTGTCAGAGCCGGTGCCCTTTGGAGTGATTTAGTGCTTGTTCGAATATGAGAACTGTCGGACAGTCTGAAAGTGATGAATATACGGCAGTTTTATGTAGAGAAACGCGTCATTTTGTGTGCCTCTACGAAACAAGGGCGGAAGTGAAACTTGGTAGGGGTCAACAGAGTGACTGAATTTAAGATTTGGATAAACTCTTAGTTAGATCTTTGGACGCGGAATTCAGCGAACAACCGGTGAATACCTTCACACCAGCCAGCACTTTATCAATTGAATTTCTCTGACCCCTGTCTGTCAGGCATGAACATGCTCTATGCACTTTATTCTCTGAGCTTGCAGACCAAACAACTTGGCCCAAAGGCGAAGGTAAAATACCTATATCACGTGCAAATTTACCGAAGCAAATACTGCGTAGGAAAGTTGCCCTACACATATGTTTGCCATTTTAGATATTATGCACCCTGTGATCAGACATTCGATCATAACAGCGGATTCAATAGAGGAAACTGTTCAGTCTTGGATTACGGAAGCGTTTGAATGAAAATCTGGATACCGAAAATTTCAACATGAGATGGTCGTCTTGGGGCAGATAGACGAAAACGAATCATTATATTATCATCATTACATCTATATTTTTGAACTTATCTCATTATTCTCCGACCATGAAGCGACGCGGCTGATAATTATGCACGGCGAGCTTAGTACTATGGGACGCAGGCAGCTAGACGGCGCATATATCCCAGCAAATTTAAGGCCACAAACGTCAATCTCGTCCGGCTGCAACGGGTCTTGAAAAATTTTGAGAAAAAGCCGCAAGAACTTTGCTAAAATTTTTTGGTTGCCACCTTTGGCCAACCGTGTGAAAATCGGAATGGAAGTACTTATTTACCACTGGCAAATTTAAGAGTAGTGCGTTCATCATACTCCTCACACTAATATCAATGTAGCCAATCAATCAGATGTGAGTGAGGCTAATAAAGCGCATCTGGGACGTGCAGGTAGGGGTTGCTAATTGCAACGTGGTGAATGACGTTCTTGATAGCAGGGACACAATAGAATAGGTGGTCGAATTCGGCTAAGACCACCGAGAAAGTGCGAATGTCCGGAGTATATGGGATGATTGTTAACTACGCCACACGTTGACATTTGTTTAGGGGTAATATGGGATTAACCAAGTGTAAAAATCATGCTAATGTGAAGGGATTTCGCATGCAACTAAATGTTGTTGGTAATATCGGGCGACGAAAGAGGAACCATTCTGTCAAATCTGTATTTTATAGGTCCATCGCAGAAAACCTCCCCAATGTGGTATGGTGGCTTAAAAAGTGCGTAACTGGGCCAACGGAGTTCTGCTACTTAAACTATCCGCAAAAACGACCGTCTATACCAGTTAAGTTTGATTTATTTTCGGGGTGGGTGCTGGTTGCTGAAGAAGAAGCCGGAATGAAAATATAACCAGGTGTTTCGCGGACCTACAATGTTGCATCTTGTTGCCTTTGTGCTCACACCAAAAACCATTCAGGTCTACTCTCACGGTTTTGCAGCTCACCAAATTCCACTGTAAACTTGAGCAATCATTCCTCTGGCGGAAAAGTCTGGTGGAACAATGCCTTAGCATCTTGGAGGCTCTGGAGTGCATGAACGGGGCTCAAAAGTTTGGACTGGTACTCTCAGCTCAATTGTCCGATTATTTTAGTTCATCGGGGACACGTCATAACCTTCGAAAAATTCCATTCCATTGTG